TGTGACTTGGACACCTCACCTCTCCAAGATACCTTGAAGGACCTATCTGGGAGGTAAGACTCAAACCACTGTCGTGCGGTTCCTGAGATGCCATTTTCCAATAGGGTTGACAGGAGAATCTGGTGGTTCACCGTATCAAAAGCAGCGGACAGATCCAGCAAGATAAGTATAGAAGATTTGGAAGCCGCTCTTGCCAGTCATTAAACATCACCTTCAATGGTATATGAGAAGACTGAATGCTTTCAACTCATTTCCTATTGAACTGTCACCAACTGAATTGCAATGGTCATTAAGCTACAAACGCGATCATAATGCACTATGTTGCCATCTAACATGTATTTTGAGGTGCAGCTTGTCATATTAACGGAGCATTTCACTAGTTGGCAGTAAACTGTTATCTTACCTGTTTGTAGATTAGTGTTGGATGTTTCGACAAGGAAAGTAGGAATGGAAGTATGGATATTTTATTTGTACACATTATACTTTTTTCGCTTATTTCAGTTAATGTCATAAAACTAGCGAGTAAGCCATGTAGCAGAGAAACAAACAAAGCGATTCAATTGAGTGAGTAATTTTCGCTGGAACTTTTCTGACTCATTTCAAACTCAAACTCTATTCAAACTCAAACTCCATTCACTAGCAAAAACCATATCAAAAGAATTTTTTGAATTTAGACATCGCTTAGCAATAATTGTAAACTCAGAATCAGTTAAACCATTACATCGCAAAATGATTCACTGTTTCGAAGTGCTCCAGTCAGATCGTGTATAGCAAGTCATTTGATTCAGATTGGGACTTCGAAGAGCGTATCACAAATCATTTGATTTAGATCAGAACTTCGGAGCGGGTTAGAGAATCGTCTGATTAATATAGGAACAGAGCTGGTTCGCGAATCATTTTACAAAGTACAAGATTCATGATACGCGCTCAGAAGTCCCGATCTGAAATGATGGTTCGCAAATCATTATTCAAATCGGGACTTAAAGCGCGGATCATGAATAGTATGATTTAGATCGGAACATCAGAGCGGCTTCATGAATCGTTATTCAGATCGGGACTTTGGAGCGTATATCGTGAACCATTTGATTCAGATCGGGACTTTGGAGCGTGTATCGTGAATCATTTGATTTAGATCAGAGCTTCGAGCGGGTTCATGAATTAATGAATTAATGAATTAAAAAATAAATAAACTTTATATAAAAATATATTTATATACAAATTTATATAAATATCCCACATTTCTATAGGCTAACTGTTATAACCTTTCATCGAATTGACCATAAATGCTTATTATTAAAACTTTGATAAAGTTGGCCGTTCAACTTTAGTCTCTTGAAACAGAACAAAATTAAGCCCTCTGGCTGGTCCTTGTTATTCAATTACATGAATACCAGTCTAATTCTAATTCAGTGAACAGTCTACATCAGTTAGTCTTAAAAATGCCAATGGGAGCATTCAGAGTGAATCACACCACTTGTTCATGTAAATGAATGTGAACTGTATTTAATCAGATCTCTCATTTTCTGCTTTCGATACCTTTTTATGTTGTGGTTATTCCTTGTGTGCGTGACCTACAACAAAAAGTGCATGGGATGAACAAAGTGAACATGCTTTTGTTTCTGTTATTCTGTGTATGTTTGGACCTCCGGTTGCATTTGTTTGTTTGCATGCATAGATTGAAGCCTCCTCTGCTTGCCCCACTCAAAATAATTGAAATGTGAAGGTCACATGTAAAGGCTTGTCATCAAAATCTAGTGTCTGATGTGCAAATGAAGCAAACCGCATGCAGCCCTGAAGTGCAAATGGCCTCTGAATGATGTCGGATCCATTATAATCTACATAAAAAAACTTATGCTGTTGTTCACACTGGCAGCGTCTCTGATTAACGATGACATTATGCATGGTAGCCTATCTGCTGGGTCTATACAAATTAAGAGTTTGATTAAGGGTTATAAAGTAATTAATTCTACATAAATGGCAAGAAAAAACATCATCAAACTACAAATCAGTGTGAGACAAAGTCAAACTCAAACTCTTTAACTCGTGTGTATTTATACCAAAACATATAGTATATACATATAAAATAAAAAAAAATACTAAAAATATAAATGTATTTATTTAGTAGTAGTAGTATTGAACTTTGAATTGCTCTATATGTTTAACAACTAATAAGAATTGCTTTAATAGCGAGATTCTTTATTGGTTCATCTGTGGAGAGATGGGGTATAAAATGTCACAACATCCAAAAGACTTTTAACTGTGTCAGCTTCTACTTCTACTTTTTGCACAATTGAAAATCCATCTAAATTTGGTGATTCATAAAATGAAGATCTGTGCATTTCTCTGCAAAGATACAAAAGAGCAATTCAGCTTTATTAGAATTGCTTAAAATGTTGTAGTTCCTACACAACTCTCTCAACATTACAGACCTTGGTGAAGAAACCACAAAAGAGACTTTTTAAACTAGTACTCTGCTAACAGGATAGGACTTTTAGGGCTAATGTGAAAAATGCAGGTGTTTTTCATCTTATTACAGGGACGGCTAAAGTGAATGCTGTTGCCTTGAATTAATCATCACAGTATCTGCTCAAACTGCTATGAAACTCCACTGAACTCGGAATACATTAGAGGTACTTTAGTTTAAAGTCTACAGATCATACCAAACCAAACCAAACCAAACCAAACCAAAGTCATAAATGGATAGGCTACACTGCAGCATATGAATTGAGTGCACTATACCCATCATTCCACTGGGTAGAGCTGTTCCTTTCACATCCACAATCTGAAATCTTTTACATGATTTTGAGTTTTTCATAACCACAACCACCTCTTAAACAGAAGTTTATGTTCACCAAGACTGCAATTATTTGATGAAAAATTACAACAAATACAGTACTACTGTGACATTATTACAATTTAAAATGACTTGAATATTTGAATATATTTTAAAATGTAGCTAATTTATCACTGAAAAAGCTGAATTTTTAGCAGCCATTTCTCCAGTCTTTAGTCTCACTTTTAATCAATTGAATGCATCCTAGCTGAATACAAATCTTACTAACCCCAACTGACCCCAATCTTTTGAATGGTATAGTGTATTTCAGTTTCTTGCAAAATATGAACGCCCACCAAATTTACCTGCTTGCATTTGAATTGCCCAAAAAGAGACAGATCTTGCACTACATGTTTAAAAGAGAAAACTATACAAATAATAAAATGTTAATTGATAAATGGATACAAATCCAATTAAATGTTTAAAATGTAACAAAAATCATATTAATATAGATTCCAATTTAAAGAGAAGGAAATATTGAATAATATATTGTGATTCGTAATACTTTTTGAATAGAGGCAAAAAATGATTAGTACTTATGTGAAAGTAAAAGGCTTATTCGGACAGAAAACCCCCTTAATCACATTTCCCAGCATATAAGAGGTCTTGACACATTGAAAAATAGAACTCGGTGTTCTCTATCACATGACCACACAAAGAAGTTGTCCAGAGTTCTCACTTCTTCTCCTTTTTTTGAAAATACAAGCATGAAAATAAGCATACTAAGTAGTGCATTCTGAAAAGCCTCATTATAATTATTTTCTTTAATATGTGTTTGAGGGTGGAATTGGCACTGTACTAATTCACCATTTAAAACCAGTAGGCACACACTTTATTCATTATCTGTCTATTATCTTATCCACAGACGAGGGCAAACAGCGGGAGGGTGAAAACATGATACAAGAGAGAAAGAGACTGACTCATTAAATATTTATAATCCTGCGGTCCCATCCTTTCAGTTGTGCTAAGCACTGTCAAATACACACCATTCACCATTCTGGGAGCAATAGCCCTAGCTCTTTTCAAAAGACCAATTGTATTTTACCTCTCAATGGCTCACTCAGGAACAGGAAAAGCTACCAGCGGTGGCAAACATAAAGAAATCAAGGACACAGCAGAACTTTATGACTGAAGATATGGTTTATCTTTTTGAACTTTCTCACCCTACTGTTTTCCCCTGAACATGTTCTTAAACATGCATGTGCCTGACTGACCTCTGTTATGCAACACAGAGTTGCAGACTGTGTTCTGTCCTGCTGAGGCACCTCATTATGCAACCAGTTCTGCTGAAAGGCGGGCCACTAGAAAAATCAGTAGTCTACATTCTCCTGATTTTACAGTAAAGGTTTGTCTGACCTTGCCAGCCTTTTTGATTGCACTCACATATACTATTAAACATTAATTAAAAATAATGCTTGGCTTTTTACTTTGAGTGCACTAACTTAATCTGTTTTGTTTATTTATTGGTTCATCAGCCATAATATAGCCTACACTCTAAAAAATGCTGGGTTAAGTACAACCCAGCTACAACCAGCAATTGGGTTGTTTTGACCCAGCGGTTGGGTTACTACCCAAGAGGTTGGGTTAAACATTTAACCCAAACGCTGGGTCAAAACAACCCAATTGCTGGGTTTGTCCCTATTTTACCCAGCACTGGGTTGTATTTAACCCAGCATTTTTTAGAGTGTACTGTTAAGAAGTCCTCTGACCCTGTTCAGACAGCTAAAAGTATCAAAGCTTTCAAATTTAATAGTCATACACACAATTGTACAGCAGTGAATTTATTTTTCTGCAAGTATGCTCTCAATATAAAAATAGCCTACTACACCAGTAGCCTATCGCTCTTCATTAACAAACAGTGCCGTTAAAATCTCCGATATAGATTATTTATTTATTTTAAAGAATTGTTATTTGTGTTCAGTTAAAAAGGTAACAATCAAAATGTCTGTTTAATAATTGATTTAATATGAATTACTATATTACACTAATAATTATATTTGACTGCATCGTCTTCATATCATCTTGCGCAGATGAACCATAGACTGTATAATGAACTCCATCCAAGAAGTCCCGCCCATCGAACGTCAATCACTTCTTCCACCAATCATATGTGTCCAGAAAACGCAGAGAGGCGGAGTCGAGTTGTTCAATTCGAGCCCTCCCACTGATCTATAATAGTGGCCCGACCTCATTTTATTTCCTACAACACAGTGGCCTTCTCAACGCTATTTTAACCTTTAAATCTTTTTTTCAACCAGCACATAGATTCGCATAATTGAGAGACGTAAAAATTTTAAGCTTAACACGTCGTTACATTTCTTTTAAGAAATGATTCTCAGCTAACAGTGTGGCATTACCGGGCTTGCAGAGATCCGCGTAACCATGGGCACGTCAGCGCGCGATTAACGTTTCCCGGTACCGCCGTACTAAAGGATGGATATTTGTCTTTAAACTCAGGTAATTGTCACTTTATCGTGTTTTTAATCGCTATATCGGCGGGACTCGACACTGAATGTACGCTATACGTTTCGTTTTACGCTACACATATACACATTTTCGCTCCGCAAATAGTGGCTGCGTCTCAAAACCTAGTGGAGTCCCTTTCTAGGTAACGTTAGCGTTTTTAGAACGTAACAGTGTTTTCTAGGTAGATAGCTTGCTATGTTTTGAGAAACACCCTTGGATACCGGGTGTTGTTGTCACTGATAGTAACCGGCTGTAGCCGGTTCAGACCGTGTTGTTTTCGCTTCTTCCGCTAAAACAGTGTGAGTGTCATGAAACGTGGTGAAAGCTACTCTCTTTAAGATCGCGTTTATATTCAAGGATCTGACATACCATTATTTCCCTCTCTAATATTGCGTCCAGCAGTAGTAAACATATTTCTGTTTATGTTTAGGGCGTATAATTGAAATACATTTATAATGTAAAGGATTCTTAAAGAACAAGAAGGGGCTTTAAAAGTGCACAGCAGGTATCAGACCACTGGGCAAATCCAGATCAGCTGGTGCCTCCCGAATGAGTTTGCGCGAGAGAACGTAATCTTTAAGTTTTAAGTCAGTTTGAACAATCCGGATAAGCGCAAGTAAGTAACATTTTGATTAGCCGTCGTACCTACAATGACTGTGCACTGTGTAAACAATGAGTGCCGTATACGCGCGAGAGATCGCTTCCGGCGCTTGCGTAAACTACACCAGAGCGCGTACACACCTCACGCACCGGATGCCTGCGCGCGCTCAAAGACAGTTGGACATAGTGGTGTATTAGAGGTAAAAAAATTATATAAATACTGTTCGGTTTCTGGCACAAACCGATCGTTTCATGTCTTAGGACATCAATGTGTCGTCACGAGCCGTAGGGTTTAATTTGGATTTGTCTGTGCATGTTTTTTTTACTCTCATAGATTTTGTTACCATTGCCATCCATTATAAGACTGATAGACTGCAACGGTTAAAGTTAAAAATCATCATATGTGTTCTACTGAAGAAACAAAGTCACCTACATCTTGGATGCCCTGGGGGTAAGCAGATATACATCAAATTTTCATTTTTGGGTGAACTATCCCTTTAACGTGGCTTAGATTTGTTTTGCACCGGGCATCAGATGTGTTTCTTTCTCTCTGTGTTTTAGGTCTCTTCATTCTCTTCTCCTTCTGCCTGAGTGTCAGTCATGGACAGCACTAAAGTCACTCTGACAGTGAGAGGGACCACAGCACTGGGTAAGAGGAATAATTCAATAGAAGTAGCCTATAACACAGTGTACAACTTTCACTAATAAGTCATTAACAATTATTACATTATCAATCAGAAGTTCAACTGTGAAGTATATTTGCATAACTATTGACAGAAGGTTTTCTTTTAGACACTTACTAATTGTGTCATTTAAAAAGTTTTTATTAATAAAAACAATCAAGACAATCTAATTAAACTAATGTAAATGTGACATTTTGGAGTTGTTTGAGTGTTTTCTGATGCTATGACTGACCTAGTCATCACATCCCTTCTATAGTACATGCTATAGCCTATAGATTTAATATTTTTTTTAGATAATTTAGTTTAAAGAAGTTGCAACATTGAACTAAGAACATCCCGTTGAACTTGAGTAAAAAAGTACAATTTCAGATTTGTAAGTCACTCGCTTTGCATGCTGTTTTAAACTAGGTCAACCTGTTTTGCGGTGTTTTATGGTTCTAGCTATTTAGGTACATTGTTTGATGTGATTTGAAGCATTATAATCTAATAATATGATAATGGTGTTAATTGAAGTTATTATATATACATTACATTTACATTTGATTAATTTAGCAGACGCTTTTATCCCAAGAGGAGTAGTTTTTTTAAAATAAAGTGTTATTATTAAGCATTTATAAAATGTTAACATTTAAAATGTAATATTTGAGAAAATACCATTCTTTAGTTAGTATGTGTTAAGTTAATATTAACTTCATGGCAGATCAGTAATCTTTTGTGCATAACGTAAGTACATTATCAATAAATACTGCCTTCATTTTTGTGGACATTTATTGAAGTAATTAGACATTTAATAATTTATTCAGAAAATATAGTACAATGGAAAATAAGTCATTAACAATTATTACATTATCAATCAGAAGTTCAACTGTGAAGTATATTTGCATAACTATTGACAGAAGGTTTTCTTTTAGACACTTACTAATTGTGTCATTTAAAAAGTTTTTATTAATAAAAACAATCAAGACAATCTAATTAAACTAATGTAAATGTGACATTTTGGAGTTGTTTGAGTGTTTTCTGATGCTATGACTGACCTAGTCATCACATCCCTTCTATAGTACATGCTATAGCCTATAGATTTAATATTTTTTTTTAGATAATTTAGTTTAAAGAAGTTGCAACATTGAACTAAGAACATCCCGTTGAACTTGAGTAAAAAAGTACAATTTCAGATTTGTAAGTCACTCGCTTTGCATGCTGTTTTAAACTAGGTCAGCCTGTTTTACGGTGTTTTATGGTTCTAGCTATTTAGGTACATTGTTTGATGTGATTTAAAGCATTATAATGTAATAATATGATAATGGTGTTAATTGAAGTTATTATATATACATTACATTTACATTTGATTAATTTAGCAGATGCTTTTATCCCAAGAGGAGTAGTTTTTAAAAAAATAAAGTATTATTATTAAGCATTTATAAAATGTTAACGTTTAAAATGTAATATTTGAGAAAATAACATTCTTTAGTTAGTATGTGTTAAGTTAATATTAACTTCATGGCAGATCAGTAATCTTTTGTGCATAACGTAAGTACATTATCAATAAATACTGCCTTCATTTTTGTGGACATTTATTGAAGTAATTAGACATTTAATAATTTATTCAGAAAATATAGTACAATGGACATTTTTTTGAAAAGTTGAAGTTAACTTTAGAATCATTACCATACATTAAATTGAAAAATTCTATATAATTGTTATTATTACTATGGCTATTGTTGTTAATTTAAGTATATATGTATATTTTGGTTGTTATTAAATTGTTAAATTATTGTAAACAATGTTTTGAAATTACATTGTAATCATAACATTGTTGATTTTGGCATATATGTGGCAGTAAAAGTAAATACAAACATTTTAAAATGTGCTAATGTTATTAATAAAGAAATGCATTACAAAATCTCACCATTAAAAGTGTATTTTTGCTATAATCGTAATATAGAAATGAATAATACAAGAAATGTTTTGGTAATAATAAGCATTATCAAGTTATTTTAACCATGCATAATTGCATCACAAATATAACCTGTATCTATATTTATTGTCTGGCAAATGTTGACGTGATAAATATGATAGTGTTGAAAAGAATGTCTTCTTTTTGCACTGTATCACCTGGAGTCACATTCCTTTGCTTACCACAAAGGAGAGAATTAATAAACTATATTTTGTTTCTATATCAGGCGAGGTGATCGCAGTGGTTGGCAGTTGTGAATCCCTGGGCTGCTGGTGTCATCAAAAAGCCGTGACCCTGCAGCCAGCAGAGGAGGATGGGTACATGTGCAATGCCATCTTATGTTTACCTTCCAGCGCAAGCACAGTTACCCTTGACCCACATATTTATCTTCTGTGTCTCGTCTCACCCCAGCACCTTGTGGAGAGCAACCGTTGAGGTTCCTAGAGGGGGTGAAACCAAATATCGCTACTTCAAGGGATTCATTTTGGAATCCAAGGTGAGATTTTCTTTTCCTAGTAAACAAACAAGATAGAAGTGATTCCTGGAAGGTTCACAATTAACCTTTAAAGCCCCAATGGTGAACTGATTACCCAACACAGAAAAAGCGCAAGGTCTCGAGACATGTTTTTTTAAAGGTGACATATCATGAAAATCTGACTTTTCCAGGTTTTAAGTGCTATAATCAGGTCCCCGGTGCATCTACCAAACAAGGAAACGTGAAAAAGATTAACCCAGTAACTTTGTTTTGTTAAGCATTTTTCTGCAAGCATCTGCAAAAATTAGCGCGTCTGATTTCGCTCCCCTAGTGACATGGCAAAGGGATCTCATTATAATATTACCGCCTCTTAATCTGTAAGTTTCCACGCACGGCGCCATCATTATGATGTCCGTGCAGAGGCTATTCCGTTTTATTGATCTATGGCGCATTCATTTTGATTCTTTACACGTGTAATGATGTCCAGTGACTTGTTTGCATTATTTATGCATTATTTTATTTATTTGTAAGACTTTTTTATGACTAAATTTGGTAATGGGAGAGTAAAAATATTTTTAAAACGTACACCGTTCAAACTAGGCTGCTTATGTTGAAGTGTTTGGGATGTGGCTTTTAATGATGAGACCTTTTTTGTAATCAGGCTCTCAAAAAGTATATAACAATTTGGATATAGATTTATCGGCCAACATATTGGTTATCGGCTTTCAAAAATAAAAAATAATCGGTTATCGGTATCGGCCAAAATTTTCATATCGGTGCATCCCTAAGTAAAAGTAAATACAAACATTTTAAAATGTGCTAATGTTATTAATAAAGAAATGTATTACAAAATCTCACCATTAAAAGTGTATTTTTGCTATAGTCGTAATATAGAAATGAATAATACAAGAAATGTTTTGGTAATAATAAGCATTATCAAGTTATTTTAACCATGCATGGCATATCAGAAGTTTAAACTCATATTGTTTAAAACGCATGATTTCAGCGCGATAAACATGATAATCAGAACCAAAACAGATGTTTTTTAGCAGGTATGAGCTGTAATGGCGCAGCACTATTCTGGAAGATGGGGCGGGGAGCAGCAGCTCATCTGCATTTAAAGAGACAGGAACGAAAAGCAGCCTGTTTCTGCTTCCACTCAAAATAGGCATTTTCAAAATGATATAATAAAGGATCTGTAGGGTATTTTGAGATGAAATTTCACAGACACATTCTGGGGACACCAGATACTTATATTACATATTGTAAAAAGGGGCATAATATGTCTCCTTTAAAAGTTGAACTTATTGAACTTGAGCGTGGCGTTTTTAGAACGCTGTGTCATGCGCAAGACACGTGATCACAACTGGTCAAACACGTCTGTCTAGCACATGTTTACATAGAAAAAAGAATGCAAGTAATAAAATGTAATAGATTTTTTAAGAGTTGAAGTTGTTGATATCCTTCTGTGTGCGTGTGTGGGGTTTCCAGGTCATTCTCCTCACAGCTGTTAATCTCTTTTAGCTGAACTCCACTCAGTTCTGGGTACTTTTTTTTTCTTTCCCTGGAGAATGACATTTCTGGAACAGGTTTCCTGCAAACCGCCTAACATGTTGTCCTTTATGCATAATATTTACATGTCAGTTGTTATCTCCCAGCCAGAAATATTCTTTTAGAATTTAGAACGGAAATATTTTCAACAATAATTAAGAATTTAGAAACAATTATTCATAGTTAGGGAAGTATTAGCGGAAAAGTAAGCTCATTTGAGGTGGTAAGTACAAGGATTTCCAAAGCTTTTTTTTTTTACGTATATAAATAACCTGGAGATCTCTAGTTAAACACTGTGAAAAATGCCAATGTGTTTCTTCTGACTAATCAATCAGTCCACTTTTCAGATGTCAACCAACTGGCTGGCTGGCAGAAAGTGGTGACTATATTTCATATTCTTTTTTCAGGAGTGAGACTTTGGTTTGAATGGCCAAAGTGGGCTTTGTTTTTCCAAAATCTGTCCATAATCTTAACCCCCATTTGAAATTACAGAATGCAGGTGGGCCATGTCAAGTCATAGTCAGTAGATGGGAGACCCATCAGCTGCCACGCTCATTGAGTCCCTCAGGTATCTGATCCTAGAATAGTCCACACGTTTTGAGTGTCTAATGCAACCCGTAGACTCCTTCCTTCATTCTTATTACATTCAGATCAGTTTGTCCCCTTTAACTCTAAGCGTGAATTATCAATACATGCTGAATTCAGCTTTTTTAAAGACTACATGAAACATTCACAACACATTTCACGTTTGAAATATGACATATTTCCAAATGAATGGAACTATTGGAAAGTAATGTGATGTAGGACTTAATTTAATCTCTCAGAACGTTACTAGACTTTAGAGTGGCCATGATTGTTGTTGGTTAATATTATTTTCCCCTACCCACATTATTTTCTTATTTTCATCAGTGTATCATGCACAATAAGACATGCATAAATCATTGATACATGTTCTAAAGAAAATAATAAAAATGTGATTTCATATGATTTTAGTGTTATTTGTCATGGACAGATGTAATGGCAATAAAAGCCGCTTAAGGGAATCTAATGGAACGTAATTATTAGAAACCATAACATTTAGTGGGCTATTACTCCTCATAGATAAACAGAGCGAAGCAAGTTTCACTGGCGCATTTTTGGGTTTACAAGCAACCCTTTTTTTTTGGCTTTGCCTTCCTCTAATTTAGCCACTTAAAATGTTTGGGTTTAATTCTTTAAAGAAAGTATTTTTTATTTTTTAATGTGTTCATTTTTAATAGTTGACTTTTACATTAGAAGCTACATTAAAAATATCTATTTTAAAACACATATGCATTTAACGCTTCTTTATTTACATGCACAACACACTTTTTATTTCTTTGAAAGAAGTTTTTAAAATAATTTCTTTAATTATCTTGAGTTTATTTTTACATTAAAAACAACATTAAAATGTATTTTAAAGCATGCATGCATTTAACGCTTCTGTATTTACATACACAACACAATTAACACGCATGCATTTAACAAACTATGCAAAACAATTTATTACATAACACAATACATCTATACTATTGTTTTTTGGTTTTTTTTATCATTGATACATGTTCTAAAGAAAATAATAAAAATGTGATTTCATATGATTTTAGTGTTATTTGTCATGGACAGATGTAATGGCAATAAAAGCCGCTTAAGGGAATCTAATGGAACGTAATTATTAGAAACCATAACATTTAGTGGGCTATTACTCCTCATAGATAAACAGAGCGAAGCAAGTTTCACTGGCGCATTTTTGGGTTTACAAGCAACCCTTTTTTTTTGGCTTTGCCTTCCTCTAATTTATGTATTTTCCTCTTTTAAATGTATTTTAAAGCATGCATGCATTTAACGCTTCTGTATTTACATACACAACACAATTAACACGCATGCATTTAACAAACTATGCAAAACAATTTATTACATAACACAATACATCTATACTATTGTTTTTTGTTTTTTTTTACTTGGCAGGATCCATAGTTTTAATCATGTAACTGTTTGCTCCAGATGCAACGTGTTATGTTCTTTAAAAGTTTGTCAGCATTTCTTTGTGTTGCCACAAAACAGTTTGCTTGCGTGGTAACACTTGCTGGATTATGCATTTAGATTATTGTTATTTAATTTTTGCCAACCAAGTATTAATCTATTATGATTATCTTTAGTGTTACTCTTAAATTCTAACATGCCTATTTCTTGCTTGTATGATATAAGGCTACAAACGTGTAGAGCTCCATCCAGTACGGAGCAAACTGAACACTTTCAATTTTTATCTGTATATTTTGATTGTTTAAGAAACAAACCAGAAAATGAATGTGTCATGGTGGTGGTGTCTATTTACTCTGTACTGGTGACTCTTAACTTTTGTAGATGTGTAGCAGGAGCAGTTGACCTTCCATATTAAATTTTGTTATGTCTTGCAGAACCTGAGCTTGTGATTGACGATGGACATTTTGGAGTCCATAGTAAGTTTGATCATTTAAACTACATAAACGTTTTAATGCAAAACAAAACAACATCATGCTATCTTTCTTACTTACCATGCAAATAAAAGTCGTTTGATCTGCAGATGGCATTGAGTGTGTGGACTCTGGCTGGTTGACGTGCCAGACAGAAATTCGTCTCAGGCTTCATTACTCTGTGAAAACTCCGGTATCTATTACTAAGAAAAAATTTAAGAAGTCACGCTTCAGGTAATATCCTTCAGTACAGAATACATATTTAACTCTTAGAAAGCTTATCTCAAGGTCAGTCAGTCACAAGGTCCTTAGAAGTATGTTCTAAGAAAAAAAATACTAGTCAAATTGATCTGTTAATTAGTGGGATGCAAAATAATGCAATTTTTTTTTCAAGTCAAGCACTATACATTATTATAGACCAAGTACTAAATATTTATTTGTCTTTTCAAATTCTTATTATACCTTTTTGATGCCTGATTTCACTCAAAGAATATGCTAAAATATAATTCATATATTTTAGATTGAAGCTGATGCTGGAAGGTATCGAGGAGGAAGAAGAGGAAAGTCCTTCATCATGGCATAAGATGACCACTACGCTGGAGTTCAGTATGATCAATGACAGCGGATATAAGTCTCGTCATTCCCAGCCAGAATGTGGATACGCCCTTGAGCCCTCCCAGTGGACCGAATACAGTATTCACACCATGGACCCCGACAACCTAGAGCTCACCTTTGAGTTCTTTGAGGTAATCTTTGGTATTGTTTAATAGGAAGATTTTATCCACAATTACATCACGAAGCATTTTGATGGAGTTTTTAAATTAATTTACATTCATTTTACACGAATCCTTTTGGTGACTTATGATTGTTATGTTATGTCTTTGTTGTTTAGGAGGACCTGAGTGAGACCGTGGTTCAGGGTGATGTCCATCCAGGTCACGTGGGCACCGCAATCCTCTTGTCATCCACTTTTGCGGAGAGTGGCAAAGATCAGGGTGTGGTCACGCTACCCATCATGAGCCGGAATGCCAGACAGACTATTGGAAAAGTTAGAGGTATAATCAGTACCACAATGCACTGTTGTTCAAAGTCTAAACATCTAATTTATTTTACACCATAAAATTAATGCACATTCCTGCTGCCCATGATAGTATCTGTTCTTTTACTGCATGCACACAACATTTGCCCCTGTAAACACGTCACAGACTATGTAAATAGAGGGTAAAGTCACTCATGTTGGAAAGATCCACTCCCTGCTTGCATTGTAGCTAAGTAGCTAGATACTGTGGTTATGATGCCATTAATTTACTGATGTGCTGATTTCATTAAATTTAAGCATTAAGTGTTGGCTTAAACATTAAATAAAATAAATGCTTTTATTCTTTATGGGATTTCAGTGGATTACTTGGTGACGCGTCCTATCCAAGGCTTTCAGTGTGACATGAGCCAGTCTTTCACCAAATACTGGAAGAAAAGGAGCGCTCTGGTTGTTGGACACAGAGGAGCAGGAAGCACACATGCTCCCAAGTGAGTAGCAACAGTGTGGAGATATATATGTGTGTGTGTGTGTGTGTGTGTGTGTGTTTGCGTGTATACAAGTCAAGACATCTGCAAATATGATTAAAAGATGTATATGAGACAAAACTACAGAATGTCACATTTTATTATTAGCTGTTTCAACACATACATGTTTTACCAAATAAAAAGGACAGCACTTTTAGAGTTCATCCCACTATTTGATGTGAGCATAAGTATTGGGACAGTTAAACTTAAAGGGTTAGTTCACCCAAAAATGAAAATTAGCCCATAAATTACTCACCCTCAAGTCATCCTAGGTGTATATGACTTTCTTCTTTCAGACGAATCCAGTCGGAGTTATATTAAAAATTGTCTTTGATCTTTCAAGCTGTTTAATGCCACTCAGCGGGTGTTGCATGCATCAGTCCAAAAGAAGTTAAATAAAAAGCGCCCATCTATTAAAAAAAAGTCTCACACGGCTCCGGGGGGGTGAACAAAGGCCTCCTGTAGCATATAGATGCGTTTTTGTAAGAAAAATATCCATATTCAAAACGTAATAATCACTTTAATGTAGCTTGCGCCAACAGTTGTACACGGAAGCAGCTCCGGGTGGGTGACGTATGAGGTCAGCTTTGCACATGCACCGCTCAGAAGTGACGAACGCGGAAGCGCAGCGGAGAGATCAAAACAAAACAACGGTCACTTATTAGAAGTACAAAACAAGGATTTGTAAAGAAGAATGTCGGAGAATTTCAATATAAGCCAAGAGGAGACTGGTTTTCCTTTGCTAAAGTAAGGATACTTTGCTTCCTTTGCTCCTGTTAACAAACGTTCATTTTCACGAGACTCACCGGCGCATGCGCAACGCTGAACTCATACGTCATCTGCCCGGAACTGCTTTCGTGTACAACTGTTGGCACAAGCTACATTAAAGTGATTATTGCGTTTTGAATATGGATATTTTTCTTACAAAAACCCATCGATTTGCTACAGAAGCCCTTTGTTCACCCCCCAGAGCCGTATGAGACACTTTTGTTATGGATGGGTGCTTTTTATTGAACTTCTTTTGGACTTATGCACTGCAACACCCGCTGAGTGGCATTAAACAGCTTGAAAGATCAAAGACAATTTTTAATATAACTCCGAATGGATTCGCCTGAAAGAAGAAAGTCATATACACCTAGGATGACTTGAGGGTGAGTAATTTATGGGCTAATTTTCAGTTTTGGGTGAACTAACCCTTTAAGGCAGATGTAAAAGATTAAAAGCTATTATTTAGTTGCAGATCCATTGTGTGCAATCCGAGCAGTGAGTCTGCGACCCATAGACATCACCAGACTCTAGGTCTCATCCTTTGAAATGCTTTCCCCAGCCTTTAATGCAGCCAATTCCAGCTGTTGCTTGTTTTGGGGAGTTTCTGCATTTAGTCTCCTCTTTAGCTGGTGAAATTCACGTTCAATCGGATTTAAATCTGGAGATTGATTTGGGCAATCTGAGACTTTCCATTTCTTTGCCCTGATCAGCTCCTTGACTGAACTGGCAGAGTGTTTTGGGTCATTGTCCTGATGCAATATAAAGAGCTTTCTGTTGAGTCATGTGCCATTTTCTTGAATATTGAACTGATAACTGATACGACACATTCCCTGCTTTTAATAACTGAACAATTAATGCAACAAGACACAACTGATGACTTAGAAAGACCTGTGAGGCAACTGTTCCAATACTTATGCACACATCAGATAGAGGGATGGAACTCTACAAGTGCTGATCTTCTTAGCTGGTAAAACATCTATGTGTTAAATCACCCAATAATAAAATGTGACATTCTGTAGTTTTGCCTCATATACATCATTTAATCATATTTACAGATTTCTTGACTCCACAGCAAACAGAGCTATTTTTTTTACTGTCCCAATACTTATGGAGGGCACTGTATATGTTGTTTTCCCAGACATTTTTTAATCAGTAAATTAAATAAATGAATAATAAATATAAGACTAATATTACGAACTGAATATAAGACCAAAACTTCTGTTAGTTTTACTTTACAGGTGACACGTTTTTACAATTTAACAATTTTTTTACTATTATTTTTATTATATTATTATAATGATTATTATATATTATTAATGGTCCTACAAATAATTTTTTTAATTACAGTTTCACATTAGTAAAATCCCTTCAGATCCCCTGACATTTTGGACTGAAATTGTTAAATAAAAAAATATTGACCTCGGCCCGTTTTTTTTTTTTTTTTTTTCTCTTTCAAACATCTAAGGTGGCCCTTTTTTTTTTTTTTTTTTTTTTTTTGGCAACAGATGTTGCCTTTCAAACATCTAAGGTGTGTATTGACTTTTGAATTTTTGCACAGCCTGTGTAACAGGCTCTGTAAAAAATATAAAGCAGGAAAACATAATAAACACACCTTAGTTTATGATAACACAAGCACACTTCAGCGTTGCTGCATGAACAAAGTTTGAGAGAGAAGTGCATGTTTAACAGAAATAAATTTGTTGCTGATGAAAATACGATTCTCTTATTTCAGGCATCATAAGATCAGGGAAAACACAATTGCCTCATTTCTAAGTGCGGCCAACCATGTGAGTGTAAATAAAGAATGCAACTCAACCAAAATGCATTAAGTTTTGTTATATAAAATATAAGGTTAAAGCGTATCTTGTTTTTTCCACAGGGAGCTGCTTATGTAGAGTTTGATGTTCATCTCTCTAAAGATTTAGTTCCAATCGTATACCATGATCTCACCTGCTGTATTTCTACTAAAAAGGTAACAATCACATTTGGCTCCCATTACTTACTGAAAAGTCACTGTTTGCACAACTCACTTTAGTGTCCTTCAGTATAGTAAACACTGATCGAAACTGCGAAACAAAATGGAAAAAAGATAATCTCTTCGCTTGTGCTTTACATTTCTTGTGTCCTTTTATAGAAAAATGACAAGAAATCAATGGTATTGTTCGAAGTTCCTGTCAAAGATCTTACATTTGATCAACTTCAGCTTTTAAAAGTAAGGCTTATTTCAGATTCTTTTGCTGTGATTGATCAATGAAATGCAATTATCTCCATGCTGATATTGATGAGTGTGAATGTGTTTGGTTTTCACAGCTGGCCCACACAACTGCCATGGAAGTTCATGACCACAAAGGTAGAATTTGGATTGATTTATGTCACGAAAGTACAATACAAATGCAGATCATTATATAACTACTTGTCAAACTAGTTGGTGGCTTTAAAGACCGATTAATGTGCAGTGTTTTGTCTGTTATCCACAGTCAGGTTCCTGAAGTAAAAATCTAATTCAAGATCTCCATAATGACTTTTTTTAGTGTAATTCAGTGTTGTGATCGATCTCAGATCTGGTTGTTTTTGTTTAGGGCTTAGAATCCAAGCCTCTGTTTAGCTGTATTGAGCTGAATAAACAGTTAACTGTTAAATAGAGAAAGATAATTGTTTTTGTGGGTTTGCTTTGTCTAGACTTGCAGGAGGAAGAGGAGTATATAGATGAGCACCAGCCTTTCCCTTCCCTTTCACAGGTATGACAGCTTTATCTCTTCACACACTCACTCACACACACACACACACACACACACACACACACACACACAGGTTTGTTTTTATAGTTTATGGGGACTCTCCATAGGCGTAATGGTTTTTATACTGTTCAAACCGTATTTTCTATTGCCCTACACCAACCCTACCCACACACACACACACACACACACATATATATAAACACATATTATCTCACATATGTGTGTCACACATATATATATATGTATATCATGCATATTATTAAGATAAAATAAAAAATAAATATATATATTTTTTTTATCTTTTTAGTAGTTTAAGCAACTTTTTCACCTTTTTTATTGACCAAACATTTAAGAAAATTGTGGTAAATGTTTGCTTATATTGCCAACCTGTACTGCTTGGTTAACCTCTTTTCTCATTTGATATTATGTTTCAGATATTCCAGGCTGTTCCAGATCACGTGGGATTCAACATTGAACTAAAGTGCATTTGTCAGTTCAAGGTTTGTGTTGCCTCAAGCTGGTTTGATCTCAGTGTTACTGGAGAGAAAAAAACCCTCATGTATCTGTTTCTTCAAACAGGATGGGTCCTGGGATGCAAAACTCTCCACCTACTTCAACATGAATCAGTTCTTGGACATCATCCTCACATGTGTGCTGCAGAACGCTGGCAATAGGAGAATAGTCTTCTCATGTTTTGATCCTGATGTCTGCACAATGTAAGAGGTCTTGTTCATGTGCATATTCTAATAATGCACAGATATTTTAAGGTCATATATATTTGTACTATGGCAGGCAATTTAAGCACAGTATAAACCAACCACATGTTTCTTTAAAATGTATTTGCACAATAAGACCAGGGACATTTATTAAAGAACTAGTTCACATAAAAATTAAAATTGGCTAAAAAAATTTACTCACCCTTAGACTGTCCAAAATAGAGGTCGACCGATATGGGTTTTTCTCTGGCCGATGCCGATGCCGATATTTAGAAATCAGGGCAGCCGATATATGATGCTGATTTGTTTGGCCGATTTTCTTTTTCTTTTTTCCCCTTCATCAGTGTACAAGATAGTAATAGTAGTAGTAGCTTAATTCATAGTAATAATACATGGCTCAAAACTTAAGCACCTTCTCAAAACAGTTCTGAAGCATGCTTTTTGTTTGTTTGCTGACAGACACGTGTTTCCCACAGACTTGTAAATGCAAATTGATTCTCTGCCAGCAGGAGGCGCTGTTGGAGCGGGAGATATAGCGGTTTCCCCGGTAACGGCTGTAATCAAATCAGCGCTGCGCTCACAAATGCTACTTTATCAGGCATTGCTGGAAAGAGAAATAAAAATGACATCAAAGCTTTTCTGAAGACGGTCGGTTCTTTTCAAAGATACATTCATATAAAAACACCTGCGCTGCATTTTAATTTTGAAACGTGGAGTGCTCAGTTTATTCAAGGAAGTATAAGACTTTTGGAAAATCTATTTGTGGCGGTCAGTTTTGATATTTTGACGAGCCGCCAACAAATAACTCAATTTATGGGAAACACTGGACACTTCTATAAGTCAAATGGTGGCTGACTAAATACTTTTTTTCCCCACTGTATACAGTATATACACATACACACACACACACACACACACATATATATAAACACATATTATCTCACATATGTGTGTCACACATATATATATATATATATGTATATCATGCATATTATTAAGATAAAATAAAAAATAAATGTATATATAGCCATCTAGGTGATAACAAAAATAAAACAAAAATAGTGTGAGTTCTCTGCCCGGCGTTCCACAACAACGTTTAGCTGCCCGCAGATGCGCCTGCCTATAAATCAGCCTAATTTGCAGCACAATCGGTCGATCTCTAGTCCAAAATGTAGATGAGTTTGTTTCTCCATCAAAACAGATTTGGAGAAATGAAGCATTACATCACTTGCCCACCAATGGATCCTCTGCAGTCAATAGGTGCCGTCAGAATGAGAGTCCAAACAGTTGATAAAATCATCATGATAATCCTCAGGTAATCCACACCACTCCAGTCTGTCAGTTAACGTCTTGTGAATAAACAAATGTAATCAACAAATCCATCATTAAGGTGTTTTTAACTTAAATGTTGCCTCTGGCTAAAATATGAGTTCTCTATCCATTATTTTGCTTTCTCAAGTGAAAAAGTTGTTTTGTCTGAATCCGGAGAGAAATATGCACAGGTCAAGCACTGTTTACAAGCGGTAAACAAATATGTTTGTGGATTTTGATGTGAGAGGACAATAGAGGATGCACTTTTTCACTGGTGTAAGCAGTATTATGGATTTTGGACTTATATTTTGCCAGAAGCAACAGTTTAAAATGCCTTAATGATGGATTTGCTTCTTACAAACATGCAGCTTTTCACTTCACAAGGTGGTAATTGATGTACTGTAGTGATGTGGATTATTTGTGGATTATTGTGATTAGTTTTTATCAGATGTTTGGACTCTCGTTCTGACGGCACCCATTCACTGCAGAGGATCCCATTGGTGAGCAAGTGATGTAATGCTTCATCTCTCCAAAACCATTCTGATGAAGAAACAAACTCATCTACATGAGAGAGAGGGATTCTCCGGGACGGCGTTCCACAACAACGCTTAGCTGCCCGCAGATGCGCCTGCCTATAAATCAGCCTAATTTGCAGCACAATCGGTCGATCTCTAGTCCAAAATGTAGATGAGTTTGTTTCTCCATCAAAACAGATTTGGAGAAATGAAGCATTACATCACTTGCCCACCAATGGATCCTCTGCAGTCAATAGGTGCCGTCAGAATGAGAGTCCAAACAGTTGATAAAAGCATCATGATAATCCTCAGGTAATCCACACCATTCCAGTCTGTCAGTTAACGTCTTGTGAATAAACAAATGTAATCAACAAATCCATCATTAAGGTGTTTTTAACTTAAATGTTGCCTCTGGCTAAAATAGTTCTCTATCCATTATTTTGCTTTCTCAAGTGAAAAAGTTGTTTTGTCTGAATCCGGAGAGAAATATGCACAGGTCAAGCACCGTTTACAAGCGGTAAACAAATATGTTTGTGGATTTTGATGTGAGAGGACAATAGAGGATGGACTTTTTCACTGGTGTAAGCAGTATTATGGATTTTGGACTTATATTTTGCCAGAAGCAACAGTTTAAAATGCCTTAATGATGGATTTGCTTCTTACAAACATGCAGCTTTTCACTTCACAAGGCGGTAATTGATGTACTGTAGTGATGTGGATTATTTGTGGATTATTGTGATTAGTTTTTATCAGATGTTTGGACTCTCGTTCTGACGGCACCCATTCACTGCAGAGGATCCCATTGGTGAGCAAGTGATGTAATGCTTCATCTCTCCAAAACCATTCTGATGAAGAAACAAACTCATCTACATCTTGGTCTGAAGGTGAGTAAATTTATAGCAGATTTTCATTTTTGGGTGAACTATTCCTTGAAAGAATAAATAGTCAACCTTGATGTTGTGGTTAAGTTGAAATAAATTATGTTGTCTTCTTTAGGGTGAGGCAAAAACAGAACAAATACCCCATCCTGTTTCTGACCCAAGGAGTGACAGACCTCTACCCTGAACTCATGGACATCCGCTGCCAGAGCACTAAGATCGCCATGAGCTTTGCTCAGAGTGAGAACATACTGGTAAGAGAACGGTGGTGTGACAGCACAGCTATCTAATCTAATTGGCTTCTGTGAGATTTGTTTACCTGCAAGAGGAATGTGGCTGTATTGTTTTCCATGTCAGAATTCATGACAAAGATGAAATAAAGACTTTTCAATGCGCTCACAGGGAATCAGCGCTCACACTGATGAGCTCTTGCGAAACATGGCGTTCATCAGAGAGGCTCAGTCTAAAGGGCTGGTGGTCTTCTGCTGGGGCGACTACAACAATGACCACGACAACAGGATGAAGTTGAGGGAACACGGCATTGATGGCCTTATATATGACAGGTGGGCTCTAATTTGTCTTGCTGTACTAGGGAACATTCGGTTCCTCACTTGCTAATCCAACAGCAGTCTTTATAGGGCTGAGAATATTGATTGAACGTTTACTTGCATTACCTATTAACATCAAATAGTTAAACATTTCACACGTGAAAAGCAAATCAGCTAGTGATAAAGGTACAGTAGCAATAACATTCTGTTTAATTCTAAGAGTCAGAAAAGGGGTAGAAATTGGTCAATTGTGTTTTTGGCGTGAGAAACAAAAACTATAAGAACTCAGGGAAAATAAATAAATGCTACAAACGTGTAGAATGTGGTGACGTTGTTGAAAGTATTCATAAAGTAGAATCATAATGCATTAGCCCACAGCAGGTGATGTTATCACCTTAATTTGACTGCCATGTTGACTCTTTCAATATAGATTCCATGACAGCCTTTGCATTCATGTCCGTGTAAATCACGTGTGGTTAATGGCTGTTCCCTGATGGTCCGGGCATATCAACACAGGTCTGATTGAAGCTGTGTTTCATTCTGGGTAAAGGTTAAACTAATCAATGATGTTCTGTGTTTATGCTTGCACTTTTCAATTCGTTACAATCAGACTGAACCTCTGTCCGCTGTGTAAATATCATCATTGTGTATGTACAATATGTGTTAAAAATGTAGCTGTAAAATGTATCCAGTAAAAGCAGCTCTGAGGTCCATCAAACACTGACATATGTTTACATAGCAATGCAGTGTTTGCAGATTTTTTTCTTGCACTTTCTGACAGTTCAGCTAATATTTGTTCTGTATTTTTGTTCCTTCTCCACTGCAGTAAAACCCTCAAGACCTGCTTAGAGAAACTGTGTTCCTGTTTATTGAAATTTAATGGAATAATTTACCCAAAAATCATGTTTTATCTCTGCTCATTCCAAACCTGTATGTTTTTTCTTTTTAGTTTCGTTAGTTTGTCATTTATTTAGTGTTAGTTATTTTCCTTGCAATTTGGAAAAGTTGTTCATTATTTTTCGTATTAGTAAACACACACGATACTTAAATATATACAATAATAACCTTTTACTACCAAAACCAACCAACCAAACAGTCTGCAAAAGATTTCAAGTTTAACCTTTAATTAGTTTGATGTGACTCTATTTCCTTGGTAACCAAATATTTATATGCATTATCGACTCTTTCCACATCTCTCCTTAAACTTTTAATCCCTTTTTCCTTTTTTAAATGTTCCTCACACCATGTTGTGGTAATTTGCCTCTTTTCTCAGAATACATGAATGCTTGGTGCCAAAGCCCAATGCTTCAACTTCCTCTGACGCCCGTAATGTCTTCTGTTTCCCGGTTGTTTGTATTTTTTATTGCCATTTGGCTGCTGCCGACTGATCATTCCTACCGACTAGCACCACAAGAGCCACAGTGTTTTACTGCAATGATGTGAGGCAGTAAAACTGTGGAGTTTTGTTTTTGACTAGCTTTTATTTAAATTATTCAGCACTGGGTTAAGGTTCAGCTGCCTGTTACATCATTCTGAGATTTCGAGACTTCCTCTTTATGTGGGTGACCTGGTTTCCCTCCCACAACCCGTATTACACAAATTACACAAATGCAGATGTGCATTTGTTTTATTTCAACTGTGAATGTTTCAGTACTAGCCACGTTAACAGTGCATGAATCCCCTCCGTGGACCTCAATGACTTAATCATTGAAGTATAAATGAATGGATGGATGGATTAATGGCTTCTGCTCTCAAACCAGCATGACTGAGGATCTTCATGAAGGCATGGCAGAAAAATCCCCTCCCCTTCACCCCAGATGGCTACTTTTACGTTAATGAAACTTCCTTCTAGCTTTTTCCTTGTTAGATGACACTCCTTTTTCTTTCCCTCAGCTAAAATAATGTTTTGTATCCACAGAATCTGCGATGACAAGCTCGAGCAGCCAAACATCTTCAATATGGAGGAACAGGGTGGAACTCTAAAGGAGGTCATTCAAACGTGTGCCTGCTCCACCTACAGCATTCCCTGCTCCTCCATTCCGTGTGCAGGAAAAGCCCAGGAGGCCAACGGGGAGTCCGATTCCGGCCTCAGTTCCTCTTGAGACCCACACAGCCAGTCCACCTTCACTCTATGTCTGTAATCTTCCCACAATGCACCAGAACTAACGCACAAATACACTAAGTCATTAAGCCAAACTTAAGCCTGAGATGTTTTTGAGTGCAATCACATGTAAAGAATGATATTGGGGACAATTACACAACGCTAACTTCCACAAAGGCAATGTATTTGCTTGGTTTAGACAATTTGCTGTATATTTGGATGCAAAAAATGGTGTATACAATGTGTAATATTTTTGGGAACGCTCTTCAAGTATTTATCAATTTCTTTATCTGCGGAAGGAGTATTGAACATGCACACCCAATGTAGTATTTTAATTTCTTGAACAACAAAAATGCAGGATTATTATACCACGCAAATATAACTGAATAATTACAATTATTTAAAATAGCTATTGCATTTCAGTAGCTAAAAGTGAGGCCTGCCTCTTTAAAAATCTCTTAAAAGATTTTGAGAGTCTTGTCTTTAAAAAGACGCTCATAAACATGATCCTCCCCTGTATATTGTTATTATTTCTTCACTACTGTATCCATCCACAGATTCATTCTGGTTTCAGCAGAACAAAATTTCATCTTTTTTTTATTCAGATGTGCAATTGACTATTGGCTCTTTACTGTAAATGGGTGTATATTGAGAGTCTTGTCTTTAAAAAGACGCTCATAAACATGATCCTCCCCTGTATATTGTTATTATTTCTTCACTACTGTATCCACCCACAGATTCATTCTGGTTTCAGCAGAACAAAATTTCATCTTTTTTTTTATTCAGATGTGCAATTGACTATTGGCTCTTTACTGTAAATGGGTGTATATTTGAATGAATGTGCCTCTGTAAACCGGTATATGCTGCTGAGCATCAGTGTGGTCTCATCTCTCAGCATGTATTTATACTGCTTCCTCACTGCAGGGCAGTGAAATCATGCATGTCTGCTGTTCAATGCCACACTGGACTCCAGCAGCTTGCTGTATGAATCCACACTCAGTGTTGTGGGTGACACCATGCCAACATACACCAGAACGCTCTGAGAGCCAGAATAAACACATTTAAAACCAATGAAATCCTTTTTTGTTTTTGTTTTTTTTGTTCGGGATGATCCCAAAATCATTAGGATACAGTGGTTGCACACTATTTATAAGCTCATGCATTATGGGAAGAAAGTAGTACACTACATAGGATAGGAATGAAAGTGTACACTACAATTCAGACTATAAAATGGCTAATGCATCTTATAGTGCACTATATAGTAAAACAACATATACTTTTCTTTCCATTAATAAATCATATGACGTTTTTCTCAAGAAAAAAAAAAATCCAATCACTAATAGACCAGTCATACATTAGTATGCAAATATTGCCGGGTAGCCTTTGAATGAAAAATATGAAATATAAAAAAATATATATTATTAATAATAACAATAATTATTATCATGCTAAAATAATTGAGCATTAAAAATAATATAATTTATATTTAAAAATATTCAATATTCATAATTATTTAATTTCCAGGACCAGGTCATGGTGGCATAAATAATCATTTAATTTAAAACATACACTATAAGACTGAAATTATGTACAAAACATTGCGTGTAATTTTTACATTAAAGGGCAGGGGCTGAATAAATCTCAAGTTTAAAAAAAAAGCTTGGTGAGAAATAAAACAGCAGTAGTTTTAAAACAGCCCATACCAGTTAGCTACGTGTGTTTCACATTGCTGCAAACAAGAGTGCAGAGGAAAGGAAGCAAACCGCCCTTTCCTGAAATGAATTTGATATAAACAGAGGAAAGGTGTGATGCTTTTACTGTGCTTTGAAGATGATTGGAGTTTTGAAAGTGTATACTGCTATGAAGTTCTACTTCAGCCTGCTTCTTCTTTCACTGTTTTACACTTCCAGAGATGCACTGTTAAAATCGATCTCACATTTGTGTTTATATATTGGTTATTCTTGTTATTCAGTACCTTTTCATGTCCCAATATGTCTTACTGTATTGGATAAAATAGTAAATTCACAATTAGTAAAGGCAGAAATCCTCTAATTTCATGCTAAAAGAAAACTAAATATTACAGATGAATTTTTTTTTCCTAAATAGGCTTTCTTCGGCATATGAGCTAGTCTGGTGATCTACAGTACCATCTAGTGCTCAGTATGGAATGTGCATTTATTCTTCGCCATAATAACCTGCGGTGGCAGTGCGGGACCTTGTTACCGATTAGGCCTAATCAATATTGTGGTGAAAGCATGCTCTCTTTATATGCAAATTGTAGCCTATTTGAGCTGTGCAAACCAATAATGAAGCAAAATTAAGCCTACGATGTTTTATCTTCACGTACTCAACCTAAACTACAAATCTAATCAAAGTAAAAAAAAATAAATAAATAATTCAGGAGATTTAAACGACTACAAATCGCGAATTAATTCAGCTATTGTTTAGTTCAAATTGTTCTTATAACGTTAAATTGATAAAAGTGCGGCTACAATGATTTCAATATGAAGGCAGGCATAATTTCTTGCAATATTACGTAACGCGCATTTATGAGTCTCTAAGGGAGTTGTAGTTTATTCGTGTTCGATTCTTTTTAACGGCCGTTTATTTAAGCTTGGACGCAAAACTCCAAATCCCATAACGCTTTGCTCGCGCGTCCTGAACGCCCACGCTTAATAAACGCAATGACAGTAATCCCCCGCTGCCATAGTGACGGAGCGCCAGAGAAGCGGGCGGACAAACGAAAAGAGATTTTAGTGTTTATCTGTGCATTTAACCACAGAAATAATGGACAGTTCTGGGAAAGAAAAGGAGGCAATTCAGCTCATGGCTGAAGCCGATAAGAAAGTGAAGTCTTCCGGCTCGTTTTTAGGAGGAATGTTTGGGTAAGCTTAAATACATGCTTCCTTCCCTATTAGCCCGCTAACGTTAGTCTGTTAAAATATCATATTGTCAGTATGATCATGTTGCTAACCTTTGGTTTTATGTTTACCAGTTGCATAAAAACTGAGAATATATATGAATTATTGTAACGTTACAAGGACCCAAGCTTTGACAGGCCGCTTTGCGCATCAATCGATAGAAAAAAGGGCTTGTTCATTACAATGCATAGCTGATTTAAAAAAAAAACGATTTTTGCATGATCATAATGACTTGAATAGTGATAATAACTGATGTGATTTCATGATTGGGCCACTAAGTGAAGTGTTTTGTGTTTGGCGCATTAGTGGCGCAGTGGCTGCAGTATTTACATATTTGTTTTGGTTTTATGTCACTCTAATAATATTAATAGAAAGGTAACACGTACCATCTTTATACATATTTATATATGGGCTTATATATATATTTTTGTAATGTTTATATATGTACTTGATCTGTATTTGTAATCTGTTACACATTATGTAACAATAATGTAAAGTATAAATATGGTACTATTTTAATATTCATCTTAAATGTAGTACAATAAAATATTTATAAGTGTACTGATTATACATTTGATGACAAATTAAACTAAATGTTCATTTATTCGAAGAAATTACAATCTTGACTTATTTTTAAATATATATTTAAAAGTAAAAAAAAAAAAAATGAAATCTTATTTTAATAGTTATAACTTATGGTTTTACACCTTACGAGAATGGCTGATTAAAGCCGTTCTTTAGTTTACATCCGTATTTTTTTGAAGAGCCTGGTGTCGACAGAAACAGTGAGATGCTTTTTGACACCGCAAACATATTCAGAACATATTCAGTGTTATTTCTAGTAAACAAGCTCTGACCTAGTTTGTTGTGAAATGGATTGATTTCAAATAGTTTTAATTAATATGATATGAGGCACTTAAAAACGGTCCCAATTGAATATTCCCACCAGGACACAAGTTATCTAGGCCTTTCTGTTATACCAGCTATAATATTCTGACTTAACCCTAAAATATATATATATAATCAAATTTTACTTGTAAATCCTAACCAGTATTTAT